CGTGGCTGAGGCTTTGTCTGTACACCTTTCCCCCGATTGTTCTGCTCCCGGGAGTTCTGGAGAGAGTGCGCTGGAATGAGGTCAGTCGACTGACAGTAGCCCCGTTCTGGCCGGGCCGAGTATGGTTCTCGGACCTGATTCCTCTCCTCGATGGCGCTCCATGGGAGATTCCCGTCAGAAGAGATCTCCTCTCACAGGCGGAGGGTGCGCCCCCGCCCGGAGCTGGGGAATCTGTGGGTGTGGCCTCTGAGGAGGCACAACTCATAGCTTCCGGTCACTCAACCGAGGTTGTTGAGACCATCCTCCATCCAGAGCTCCCTCTATGAGGAAACTGTACTTCTTGGTGCGGAGACCGCCAGCTTGACCCAGCTAACTACACATTTGGTACAGTTCTGGAGTTCCTGCAGGCCTGTTTATCCGCAGGGTTGACCCACTCCACCCTAGAGGTCTTCGTGGCGGCCATTGCGGCCTACCACTCCCCTCTCGGTGGCCATTCAGTGGGAAGACACCCTCTTCTACTCCGCGGTGCGCTGAGGCCGAGGCCTCTGGCCAGAGAAGCTTATGTTAAGTGGTGGATCAGGATGCTATTCCATAGCCTTGAGCCCTCTGATCTCCCCTCTCCTTCGGGGGTCAAGGCTCACTCCTCCAGAAGTTGGCCTTCGGGATGGCAGGCCCTGCCTTCCTCCTGATTACACATGTGATTCAGAGCATGGTCACGCTGAAGGCGTTCCCGTAGCATTTAGACGCAGCTTCTCGTTCCCTTCAGGTAACCATGGTTACATGAGTAACCTGGAGACGTTTCTGTTACAACATCCAATTTTTCTGAGCTATCAGATATGCTGAGGAATTAAGACAAGTCAGGAAGATTATTTACAAAGCTCAATTGTGGTAGCTCTTTTGTCTTTTGTGGTAGAAGTGATTCCTTTAGCTACATGGAGTATACACAAGACTAGATAATGATCTGAGATATTGTCGCTCTGCTGCAGAATTTCAACGCCGTTAGCATAAATGATCATAAATGAAATATTACCAAAAGAAAGGTAAAATAAAATAAAATTACTTTGGAAAAAATATAAATGCAAGATATCAATATCAATATCAATATCAGTCTTATAATGAAGATTCGACATAAATCATTCTACAGAAAAAGACATTTGAAAACATGCTATTAATTGTTTTCTGTGTTAGTGAGAAATGTGCAGGCACTGACGCACACCCTGTTCCAGCGGCAGGTGTCTTTAATCACCCGGCAACTCCACCCTACCACACCTGCTCTTAACCTGTGTGGGCTTTGCTCACACACACACACAGATAGATGCTCATCAGTCCACGCAATACTGCATGGATCACTCTGCTTGTTCAGACAGAATGAGGAACTGCCTCAGGGATGTGGATTTGTGTGTGTGAGTTATACTGAAGATCATCAAAACAACAGGGCATGTTTAGAGAGAGCAAGACTGAGTCAGTACAATCACAGTCATTAGATATGACTTATACTAGACCCATATTAATAATTCTCAGACACAAGATCCAACTCAAAACTGTCTCACATTAATTTTCATATTTTTGTGTAGCATTGTGGTTTCTGTATTTACATTGAGTTTTTAATCTTATAGGCCCAAAACATTACTAATGACCCTATTTATCATTTTAAATAGGTTCAAACTGCCTAAATATGCTACTATTTTCAAAAGTTTGGAGTTGGTATGAGTTTTTTAATGTTTCTGACTGATGACTCTTATATGCTCAGGTTATTCCTTTATCAAAAATACAGTAAAAATGGCCAGTAATGTACTGTTAATTTACAGCCCTTTACCGTTAATTTACAGCTTTTCATTTTTACAGTATGCTACCGTAATACTACCATGTAAATTAACTCAGCTAATTTGGGAAACCGGTTGCTTCAAACAGTTTGAGTTTAAAAACTATTATTCAAACGGTGTTAGTACTGTGAACTTAATTCAATTTTAATGGAAAACAGTATTTTACTGTCAAAATTTGGTCGTTTTTTTACAGTAATTTTTTACAATGTAATACAATTTTGATAATGATTACAATACATTACATTTTTGTTTTAATCTAATTTATTTCTGTGATGATAAAAAATGATATGAATCTCCAATGTCATATGATCTTGACATACTTGACAATATATTTTTTGTATACAACCTATTGTTACACTGAATTACGTTTTTTCTGTAAATCAATATAAAAATGTATGATAGTCATTACAGAAAAATATAAAGCTGTATTAAACTTGTATTATTTTAATGTCTTTGACCCATGTTCATTCCTGAATGATGACTAGTCAATACATCATTCCAGCTGTGCTTAATTACACAATAATTTAGCAACTATGACACAAAACACCTGTTCACCAGCTACCAAGCACATCCCCTGGGAGTCCGTAGACATGATATATAAACATTTTCTTATATTTTTATGACATTTCTATTTGAATTAACATTTTCTGATGATCTTTCAAGTATTAATATTAATTAATGTTCCTAAAACAATTCTAGCTGTTTTTACAACAGGGGTCCCTGGGTTTGTAAAAGTTAATTTACATGAACATATAACTGATTATTACTGTATCTTTCTTTCTTTCCTTCTCTCTCCCTCTCTATCACATACATGTAAACACACAATGAAACATCTGTGATGGCCTCAGGTACTCAGGCTTGTTAGGAAGCACTATGCTAATAATATCTGGCAGAATTGGATTCATTGTGCTGCTATTGTGTTGCAACTGTCCCTTGATTTCTCTTCCTATTTCTTTCTCTCTGTCTCAGTAGGATTTGACGTTTTAGGTCAGGTCTTCAGAGGTGTACAGCAAAGCGATCTAAAAATAATCTATGTCCACCCTCCCAACGCTTGCCAACATTTTCAATAGAATTCTAACATGAGCTGTAAATAAAAGAAAAGTAAAGGTGTTGATACTTAGGAGCGCATTACTATCATTATTCTTTGTACTTAAGCTTGGGGGGTTGTTCAGATCCCTAATTATTATGCTCTAGTGCTGCACCATTTGTGCCACAGAAATGAGTGATACCTGAAATCATAAAGTCAATTAATTAAAGGTGCTGTTTGTAAGTTTTTGACTCTACTAAAGCATAAAAATACCATAATATGTTTGCAGATATTTAAGAAACATGCTAAGTTAACATATTTGTTTATCTGAAAAACAATGCTACAGTCTGTTATCCTCCTTTGAAAATGTGCGTTCTGGGCCAGAATGTCCGTCTCTGTTTTGGTTTGTGAAACCTGCCCACTGCCAGTTTACCCAATTATATTTCGGCACCCCGGGTTGCCAGTTGGCGGGAAACACAGCGTATTTCAGTCATGGAAGCTGGCAAACGAAAGTAGGCGCGTTTCCATTACCCTTCAAATTGCGCAATTTGCGAATTGAAAATACGCTTAATGGAAACGCGTAAATTTCGCAAAAACGGCCATATATCGCAAAAAAGTTTTTACGCTCGCATGAGGTGGTTTTTCAGGCAATGCGCAAAAGGATTAATTCGCAAAACTGCAATGGAAACGGCTTTTCGCATTTACAGGTCACATGGCGTATGTAAAAAGTAATATGATCATTCTTCAATGTACTATAACCTCCAAGAAACACTTCATAAGTGGCCTTTTCCCTACTATTAATACTTAGACAATTTACATTGCACAAGTCTGCGGTACAGTGTGGCTCTGATATGGTCACTGAAGCTGATTGCAGCCACTCAATGCTTGTGTTAATGTTTTTATACAGTCTATGGTTTATTCCAGCCGCGCCACGCACGTTTCTGAAGCGGCTCTCTTTGCTGCTTCTGTAAAGATACATGCATAAGCCTCCTTTGAATAAATATAGCCAAAATCCGTCAAAATCCCACCAAAATCCGTTGCCATGATTTATCGCGAGAGGCAAAAGGTTAAGTTTTAGCCGCATAACATTGGTTAATCGAAACGCCGTCATTTCGCAATACTTTTTTATCGACATTCAGAAAATATCGCCAAAGTTTTGCGCAAATCTGTAATGGAAACGCGCCTATTGTTGGTTTCGTCAATCTGGCAACCTGCGTGTGCGTCAAGTCTGAGGAGGAGGGGCCGGGTGAAAAAAAACCCTCTCCAATATTTTGAATTTGGACTGCAATACCTAGTTCAACCACTCGGTGTCAATCCTACATACAGCACCTGGCAACAAGTGGACAATAAAACAGGTGAAAAATCTGACTATGCCACATTTAAAGGTTTACCCAAAAATGTAAACTCTGTCATCATTTACCCTACACTTGTTTCAAACCTGTATGTGTTTATTTCTTCTGTTGAACACAATAGAGGATATTCTTCAAATTGCTGACGGTAGCCATTGACTCACATAGTATTTTTTCCCCGTAGTATTGAAGTCAATGGCTGCCTTCAACTGATTGGTTGCACACATTCTTCAGAATATCTTCTTTTATGTTCAACAGGAGAAAGAAACTCATTCAGGTTTGTAACAACTATTGATTAAATGATGACAGAATTTTCATTTTTGGGTGATCTATCCGTTTAAATTCCACAATATCATAGAAATTAATACTATGTTTTGACTCGGGCAGTAACCACCAGGCAACCATCCAGAAAGCAATAGCCTTGTAGAGGTTTCCTAGAAAGTGTTATGAAATGTACTTTTTGGTTGGAATATCTAAAAGGTTTCAGATTCCACCTAGAGAACTCTGAACTGTTTAAATAGGTTCTGGAGTGCTGGGAGCAAAAAGATTACATCACAGCAACACACGACCATGCACTCCACTCTAATTAGAGTGTGTTAATGAAGAACCAGATAGGGTAACAAGGACACACATTAACACACACGCATATGCAAGTACACACATGTCCGCTGTCAACATTTGCAGCAAATGCAGAGAATAATAAAAAGCCTTATTAGTGAACGTAGCATATGAAGTGTAGATGTTTGTGGTGTTCTGTATAGTCCAGTGAAGGCAGGTTTCATTTGTAAGGGTGCGTCTGACCTGACAGACACGGAGAACTCTCCTGGTGTGCTCTCACTTTCCCTAATGAGAAACGCTCCACACTCCAGCGGTCTCAGACGATTTTCTGCAGCCTGCCGTGATATTCCACCCACAAACCACCTGCAAAATAAAGACTCATCTGTCAGTTCAGCATCATGTATATTTATGAATTGAAAGGGGACTACTGGTACAGTACACTTTAAAAATGATTCTTTAATCAAGTAAATAATGTTAAAAAAATATTTATACTGCAAAAAAATTTTGTGGAATGTACTTAGAAAAAAAAATCACTCAGAAATTGCTAGAAAATTTCATGTAATGGCAAGTAACACTGAATTCAATGTGAAATTCTGAAGTCTGAAATAGTATTTTCTTGACAAATTTTTTTTTACAATTATCTTAATTTACTACTGAAAATCATTTTTTAAATGATTATTGTAATACAGCTTTCAAGAACAGCATCTTTTAATTGAAAATGTTGATGCATTTTTTGTTCTACACTGGCCTACAGTGGTTCCTACACTGAAAAATTGATTCGTGGTGGTTTAGTCCCAGTCTGTCTCCAGCATGCACCAGGGCATGAATAATTAATATGGTTGCATTGTTTGACCATTTGCCAGTTATATTTACTTTGTTGTTGTTGATTTGCACACAAATGATAAGTCTATTCCTCTGTTAAAATGGTTAGTTGGTTGTTTTTCGTGTCTGTGTTTCGTGTGTTTTGAGGTTTACAATATGTGACTTTTGAAAGTATTTTATGTGTTGTTGTTGTTTTTTGTTTTTGTCTCAAGCACTTTACTCTCCATGTACATTTTTATAGAGAATACATTAGATGAAGCACATAATATTGAATAATTTAGAATCACATAAATAAAAGGGAACAATCTGCAAAAAACTCATAAGATTTGAAGTTGGACTTGATCTAAACAAGCAGCTATTACATTTACATATATGCATTTGGCGTTTAGGCTTTTCACATAGCATTTAAGGCATATATTCTGTCAGTTTATGCAGTCCCTGGGAAATGAACCTATGACCTCGGTGTTGCTTGTGCCATGATCTTATATTTTAGCTACATAGATGCCAAATTATTATTGCAATATAGCAAATTTTAAAATTTTGCAACTTTAATTTTTAAAGGGGTCATTTAATGCTTTTTTAAAGATCATTATTTTGTGTATTTGGTGTAACAGAATATGTTGACATGCTTTAACGTTAAAAAAACATTATTGTAGGTCCTCTATGCCCCGCCTCTCTCAAACGCGTCGTTTTCATTCTATGCACAATCAGCTTGTAAAAGGAAAAGCTCCAAAGAGAAAGGAAAACTTGAAATCGCATCATATGACCCCTTTAAGTTTAAATGAATATACTTGCTTAAAATAATAAATAGGTGAATTTAACACAAAAAGCCATGTGAACTTTTTAAACCTGCTATTTAAGTTCTAAAAACATCAATTTTTTTCCAGAGGGATTTCAGAGGGATTGATTCACCTTTATAACATTTCTTATAGAATTAAAATTAAAGTTTTAAGAGGTTTGTGCATTGTTTTCTCACTGGATGTTTCAGTCCTAGCATGATATATAGTGAAATGACATGTTTAATTGTGAGAACACGTTCTGCCATCTTTTGCTTAATAAGTAGCTTCAGCTGCATTTATCGTAAGCCAGCATTTGATCTCAATCAGTCTTATCTTTTTTTATCACGATCATGAATTTGAACTGACTCATCCTTTTAATTCAGAATGATTGGTATAGGTTCTCAGTCACAAACTGCCATGTTTAGATCAGGCCACAGCATTTTTGTTGGGGTTTGGTCTAGACTTTGACTTTTGCTAATCCTCAATGCCTTACAAGGTTCTCAATCTTCCATGTCATGGTAAAACTGGAGGGTAAGGAAATCCTTACTTAGCAGATGTCCTTACCTAGCAGTTTCAATCCTAGTCACACCATTGGGAAGGCCACACCCACAGCTATTTGTGAGTCATGTGACCTCACATTGAGGTGTAATGCTGGGAAATCCTTCCTTCTTAAAAAAATTTTTAAAAGTCTGGATGATGCAGATTAATTCTACAATACAATCCTAAACCCAACCCTAAACGTGCTCCAGCTGAGCATCCAACAGCACCTTTCCAGCTGATGCAATCACCATCCACCTTGCCCAACACAAATACAACATTCAGAACCACGGAGAAAGCAACACCTACCAAATGCTTTGTGGACCACAGACTACTAGAGATATCAGACCTACAAATAAGGTAAAAGTGAAAAATATAAAATGAATGGATTTTGGAAATGTCCTAGTTTCTAGTTCAGACAGCATCTCTGAAAAAAAAAAACGTCACAATAACGGACTCTGAACATATGACTAAGCTGTCTTCACTTGAATTGTTAGGTTTTTTTTATTATTGTATGGCTAGAACTAACATTTCCCTCTAAGAAAAGATCAAATAAAGACTGCAAAGGTTTCCCAAAACATTACGACACCCCAGGTGAATAGAATAAAAATAATAGCTAGATATCAGTATAGTTCCCAATTTATTGATTACATTATGGATTCCAAACATTTTTGTAGTACAAATTTTCTGAAATGTGCAAATGAGGCATTATCTAATAAAATATGCAAATGTGCATGGATTTCCAAAACATACATCTAAACATTGGCTAAAGCCATGTTCAAAATTCTTGTTTAATTGTGTTGACATATGAAAGTTTTTTTTACAGAAGCGGTTTTAGATATCTCTTTCTATCACCCCACAAATCAGAAAATATTAAACAGCTAGAAAACATGTGTGATATTTTGAGAATTTTGAGACTCATTTTGAGAAAATGGCCTTTAATGAGAGTATTGTAATTGAAATACAGACACAAATGGATTAAGTGCAATAATGCCTTGTAATTCACATATAAGCCACTTTTGTCATGTGATACTTACGTGTGAGGTCTTACATTGATATAGTTCTTCGGTACATAGCCCCGCCTACCAAACAGCTCAGCTGTGTACCAGTTCGGATCATCATCCATGTTTGTCACCTAAAATAAGCATAAGATCAGTATTCAGATGTCCACTATCAGTTAGATATTTCTCCTCATTTAAGAATAGGGTTTTCAAAACGATAGTTCATGAATCACTGGGGTTTTGTAAGATAAAGAAAATCTAATAATTATTGAAATCTTAAAATATAAAATTAAAATAAATATTTAAAAATTAATGTTTTTAAATAAAAATATGTATTTGTTTAAATAAAACACGTACTAAAAGAGATTAAATATGTTGTTTACTATTGATATATTACCTTCAAATACTTCAAGTAAATATGTTATATCAAATGGGGTTCAGCTGACAAAAACATTTGGACCGGGATATTTCACTAGATCAGGCTATTTTAAGTGCATTTACCAAAGTAGGGTAATTGAGTTTCCCATTCAGTCAGTCACGTTCAACGTTACGTCAGTGACTGAATATGCTTTTCAGAAATGTTCTGCAATTATACTTTGACAGTTTAAATCTTAATAATTAAACCATTTGCTTAGGTAGTGGAAATTTAAAAGACTTTTCAAGTATCCATGGTAACTGTAATTCCCCAGATAACATAATTTGGTAATCAAAAACAAAAAACGATTTGCAAACCTATGCAAATTACCTGCCTCTTGCTTAAGTTCAAATAACACATAAACAAATAACTGACAATGGCAGTGTGTTTTACTGACTTTACCATATATGGTTTTCTGTTTTATAAAGTAGCCTATAAAATAATCTTCACACAAGAATTATCTTGTACTGTCCCATCCCACAAGCTGCCCAGCTACATATATCATCACCTAATCACACAGAAATCCTTTCTGAAATACATAACACAGATGCACACACTCCCACCAAACTGACTCACTGATCTAGTATTTTCTGCTAAGGTGCAGCATGCAGACTAGCATCCTTACAGTTTCATCCAAGTGTACTCTATATCCACAGTAAACTATTGCATGCTCACTCAGACTCACCTTTAGGATGTCACCCTTCTGGAAACTGATCTCATCACATTCAGTCGCTCTGAAACTGTAAAGTGCCTCAGCCTCCATCGGAGAAAGAACAGAAAAAGAAAAGAAGAGGCAGTGAAGGTAGTGAAGTGGAGATGAGACCAGGGTGAAATCAAGAAAGAGTTCAGAGACAAAGGGATGAGAAAGGGCAAGCACAAATGGAAACAGATGAAATGGTAAAGGAGATTATTAAAAAGGATGGAGTGTAGAGATGTATAATGGAGAGGCTGATTGAGACGAAGAATGATGAGTAGCCTTCAGCGCAGAAAAACTGGAGCGACAAAAACATTAAGTGGAAAACTGAAGAAGCATAATGTTGATGGAGAATCTGAGAGAATATGTGTGTCTGCCGTAGTACAGCTGTGCAGGGTGGGAATGGAGGGGGATGGAGAGAGAGACAGAGACAGAGAGTGAGAGAGAGTGAGAGAGAGAGATAGGGAAGTGAGAAAGTGAGAATTAAAGTGGGCATTATGACCAGATCAGAATATCACATGCTTTCGATTCAATTTTTCAAATGCCTCAGATATAATGATATATAATATACACTAACAAAAATAAAGGTAAAAATCCAAAAAAACACTTGAGTGAATTTGTTTCTTGTCTTAATTCAATCCAACAATCGGCCAGATTAATCGGCCAACGCGGTCCAATCTAGTAATCATTATCGGTCAAATCCACTATCGGTTGACCTCTTATATATATACAGTATATATATACAGTGGGTACGGAAAGTATTCAGACCCCCTTAAATTTTTCACTCTTTGTTATATTGCAGCCATTTGCTAAAATCATTTAAGTTAATTTTTTTCCTCATTAATGTACACACAGCACCCCATATTGACAGAAAAACAGTATTTAAAATTATGCAAAAAAAATGATAAATCTTGGCGGTGGGGACACATGTTTGATATCCTCTGGCAGTTTTCTGTTTGAGCCAACAACATGACCCTTATTAAGAGTGCTTGCTGTAGTTGTGCATGTGTTTGACTGTTATGCATGTTGGTCACGTCCTCTCTGATTCAGATGACACGACATTTAATAAGCGCGCATGGTCACACAATATCTCATTTCTCTCTTGCTGCCTCTAAAACGAATTAATCAAGCTGCACTATGTATAAAGAGAGTGTTTCAAAGCTGTATAGCTTAAATATGAGACCGAAATGAATACTTAATTCTCCGATTTGTGCATGTTTGCATGGAGATGATTTCAGTGCTGTATCTGACATATGACAGTCAATTGGCATCTCTAAGAACATGTGTTGGTGGGCAGCATCCCCCCAGCCCCCTGCCATACACAAACATGTAAGAAACTGTCACAGTGCCTTTCAGTGCTCACAATGAGAGCTTTCATGGATGATAGCTGCGAGCCGGTGAGTACAGAAACAATATTTTCTCTAAAATCAAAGTTACTGAAGCTGTACTGCAAGCCAGTGCATTGAATATTGATATTATTATGTATTCCAGAAGTCCAAAGAATATTTAACCAAAGGTAATGCTGAGGATTTGTTCAGGTAGGGAGATAAAAGTTCAGATAAAACAGTTTTTATGGCAAGTACCATAGTTTGAACAATATCTAAAGTAATCTGTCAGAATTGTATTATTATTATTATTATTGTACCTGCTTTGCATAATCTCTTTTTAGTTCACTTTTTAGTGTAGTTTTAAGTAGGCTAGCTAAGTCTCTTTCTCACACGATTTACCCAATTTCATGACAAAGTGCGAATATATTTTAGCTAATATAATCAATTTAAACGCATGGTTAATTAAGATATTATCAGTAATTGTTGAGGTCATTTATGAACAACCACAATTTAAATTTAATGAACCTTGCTTCATTTTGAGAAAGACATCGCTGAAAGTAACCATACCTTGCAATTCAGAACAACAGAGGATCCCAAACATGCTCAATGGGTGACATGTCCGGTGAGTATGCTGGCCATGCAAGAACTGGGATGTTTTCAGCTTCCAGGTTGTAAGTTATCTTGTTGTATGGTTGTCATAGTGACTGCACAGCTTTGATTGGTGGATGCACAGTGTTGCTTCTCCTTCTGGCTGGGCTGGTTGTCATGACAGTCCTCCAGCTGCTACAGTCCTTCTACAAACAACTTTTTTTGCACCCTCGAAGGGCACTTCAGGAACGTTCCAAACGAAAGTGAACAACTGAATCCCTTCACGAAGGGGAAGAGGAGCATGTTGTTTTATCCCACAGTGATGTGTTTAGTCACCTTTCCTCTCCCCCATCGCCATTAGATAGTGGAAGGCCTCGCCCACATCATTTGCTCCAACTACAGCTCTTCAGGGTAACAAATACTCCGGCGGCTGAGGTGGTTCAGTATGTGTTTTTATTATTTTTATTATAATTTTATCTCCTTTAATTCATGTTCCCCTTTTCAATAATATACATTTTTCTTTGTTTGTTGTATTTTTTTAAACCTTTAAAAATGTTGTTATGGCCTGTGAGCAAATGCTTCAGAAGACAAGTGCCTTACCCCAGGAAAATGTTATTACTTTTTGATAGCTCAGGAAATGTAATGTAGTTCTCAATTATATTTTATTTAAGTATCAGATGGTTCTCCTAAACTACAAGTAAAATGGAAAGGGTTTCATCTAACAAGCGCTATTGTCCTCCATTGGTGTTCTTGTACTCCCTTTTGAATAAGAGCCTTTTAATGTTAGCTCATCTATCAGTCACAAAACATAGATCCTAGAGAGGGACTTAAGAGCTTAAGGACTGCATTCAATATGATATCTCACCATTACAGCACTGTCACTGGATCAGCTTGTTACAACATGACAGAAATTATCATAGACAATGGTAAAGCTTATTCTATACACTTAAACCCCAGGATGTTCACAAGAGCAGGATTTATCGAAAAAAGGCCCAGAATTTGGCACATCATGTCTTTTATTTGGATCTTTTTTTATGTAGGAGGCGTTTGGAGCTCTCTCAACACAGAACTGTGTCCGTTCTGGATAATGAGCGTTTTACTGTGCAAAGTTTACTAGAGAGAGGCCCAGCACATTTTGTACTGGCGAGACTTGTTTTTTGTTATATTTTCACATTTTTATTCACTTGACTTTTTTTTGTAATAAGTGACTAATATTGCATTCAAAGTATATGTCTGTTTTAAAGGGGTCATATGATGCGATTTTAATTTTTCCTTTCTCTTTGGAGTGTTACAAGCTCTTGGTGCATAAAGATCTGTAAATTTGCAAAGACTAAAGTCTCAAATCCAAAGAGATAATCTTTATAAAAGTTAAGAGTCAACCATGCCTACCTAAAACGGCTCGTTCTAACACGCCCACATGTCTACGTCACGATGTGGGAAGATTTGCATAAGGCCGCCCAAATGTTCACGCAAAGAAAGAAGGCGTAACTTTTATTTTCGCTGTAGTATTGTTGTTGCTGTGGCCGCCATGTCGTGAAGGCGCTGTGTGTTTCGTTGTGAAAGCGAAACTAATTTGTTTGGCCTTCCAAAAGAGGACGATATCTGCTTCGTCATGCCTAGAGCTGATCCGTGCTAGTCGCTGAGGAAATACATCAACTTCGCGCTGTGGATCGTCGGATCTGCTTTCACCGTGGACGAAGCGGAGTCCAGCCCAGGGTCGTCACATGTGGTTGCTGCAAACCCAACGGCCGCCTCTCACTCTAGCCCGCCGTGTGTGACGTTGTGTGTTTCGTTGTGAAAGCGTTTTGTTTGGCCTTCCAAAAGAGGACACGACTAGAAATCAGTGGTTACGTTGTATTTACAACACTGTTCTATGTATGGTAAGGGGCGTAACATTTCCGTCACACGCTTGAGGTATTCGGCCGATCACAACGCTCTGGATAGCTGGCCAATCAGAGTACACCTCACTTTTCAGACCGATGAGCTTTGTAAAAATCGATGTGTTTCAGAAAGGCGGGGCATAGAGGAGAAACAATAATGTACAGTATGTGGAAAATAAATGTGTTTTTTGAACCTTAAACCGCATAAGCACATTTCATTACACCAAATACACAAAATAATGTTCTTTTTAGCAACATCATATGACCCCTTTAATGAGTTTGTGTAAATTTCTAAGCTACTTGACCTGAAAATCAAGGTACTGTAGTACCATGGTAGCTCTTATGGTATTTCTTTGTTATAGTAGTAGATGTTATGGATTGCAATAGCTTTTTCACTGTTCACTGTTTACTGAAAATTAAAATAAAAAAATTAGAAAAAATGTCTTGTCTTTATTTTCCAGGTGCAGCTTCTGGTGCTGAATTTGTTGCGTATTTTGTTTGGCTCTCCCGGTGTGGGACCATGTTCTGTTACACTCCTACAGCTGCCTGTAAGATATCCAAAAACTGTCATACACAAATTCATAAACTCACATATTCTGCATCACACTTGCATATACTAGAAATATATTGGTGATATATTGGAGACCATATCAATATCAACCTTAAAGGAATAACTTCACACATAAATTAAAATTTACTAGACAGAACAATATTATGGATAGAGGTCTTGTATTTTAGCTGGTTTGAAGTTAAAAACGTCTTAATGATGATTCATTTCTTACAAACATGCAGCTTTTCACTTCATAGTATGTTAATTAAAGGACTGGAGTTATGTGGATTACTTGTGGATTATTGTGATGTTTTTACCAGATGTTTGGACTCTCATTCTGACGGCACCCATTCACTGCAGAGGATCAATTGGTGAGCAAATGAAGTAGTTGCCTCATTTCTCCAAATCTGTTCCGATGAAAAAAACGAACATTTCTATATTTTGGATGGCCTGAGGGCATATCTGTTTTCAGCAAATTTTCATTTTTGTGTTAACTATTGCTTCAAGTAGTTTTTCATCAAATCGGTTCTATTACGCTGATATTGGAAGTATTTTTCAGTGCTAACTAGTTATACAATTGTTAAGCTGTGCATCATATATTTCTATGCCAAAGTAAAAATATAAATTAAGATACGGTTCAAAAGCAAGTTTTTCCTTCCACTTGTGCTATGGCATGGTGGGCCAAATCTAATGAATCTATCTTATCTTAAGAATATTGAAAGTTCTCACAAATTGTTTATATGTGTTTGTGTGTCTGGTTGTATATGTATTTCAGGTCCTGTGTTGTGTTGATAAGCAGGGCATTCTCTCATGGCCCAATCCAAACCCTGAAAAGATTCTGTTCTTTAGCAAGTCCACCACCTCATCACAAGTGACAGACAGACAGGGGCAAAAGGAGGTGAAGAGAGAAAGAGACAAAGAAATGGAAGAGGTCGGCTTGTAGGACGCAGCATATTTTGATCAAAATGGGCCTGCTTTTGTGAAAAAATG